TACCCATGTGTTTTCGGGTTGCTCTGCTTGCCAGATGACACCGGCCGACCATTTTCGATCCGAACATCGGCACACTGCCCGAACGCCGCGTGTACACGCGCGCGCACACGAACACATTCGTGCGACATACGGGCCCTGGAAAAAGGCCCACCTTCTCTGCAAACCTCCCCCTCTTCCTCCTCCACGCTGGCGTGTGCCCATCGCGTGCCTACCAAATCGCCCTTCCACCATCCAAGTGATCCTCTTCTTCCGGGATTTTCCGGCCTTTTGCGCCTCTCCGTTAGCTACTTTCGAATAAACCAGTTCTCTCCTCTTTTTTTTTCCTTTTTTCTCTTATTTTTCAGTTTTATCGATTGGCGTGGCTTGCTTGTCGAAGTCTTTTACTTTCGCTTATGCAGATTTGTCGTACTTATTGCTTTTTGTCCTATTTTAACTGGAATTGAAGTTTGTGCTCTTTACCCTGAGTAATACGGTCCTCGGGTCTTTTTTGACCCAGAACGTTTTTATTTTTTTAGTAGCTTTCGCTGTTATCGAGTTTGTGTCTTTTGCTGTTTTATCTAGCTTCGTATGGCGTAGTGGTGAGAAAAATTGTTGAATTGAGGTCTTTGGGTCTTTTTTGACCCAGAAAGTGTCTAGTCAAACGGAAGAAAGCAGTAAAATTAAAAACAGTGCTTATTTTATGAAGGGGACATTGAAGAATTGTTACACATGAGGTCTTCGGGTCTTTTTTGACCCAAAGACGTAGAAAGAACGCACTAGGGTTGAAAATGACGCTTATCTTATGAGAAGGAAATTGAATTTTGACAAGTTTCAGCACAATTCGTTCGCAATTATTTATTACGCACGGTACTTCAGGCAAAGTTTTATTCCACCCGCTGAGATCGAGTTGAACTTAAACTATACCTACGTTAATGTTGATTAGGGACAGGTGTAAATGTTTGTCCAAGTCTCACGGTTTTACGAGCGTGCACAAATCATCCTCTGTATAATGTAACACTGCGCTCGCTATAACCGTGACGTTTCCAGTGACTATAATAAAAGAAAAATGGAGGAAAACGGTGGCTATCGTAGGACGAGTCAACGATAAAACCGTTCCTCGAGCCCGTGTGATCGCTATAAAACGTCCGATGAATAATTTCCCAAGTGAGAAAACGATTACGCGACAGGCAGACGACTTTACTTTCATCGCGTTCACGTGGTTCACGACAATAAAAATGTTGCCAGCGAGAAGTCTGATAGAGTTCGAGCTGTAAGTTATCGTAGGCATTCTTCGTTGACCTAAGCTTAAGATAGTGTACATTTATCTTTCATTCATGCCATGCTCTTATTTTTGCATTTAATTAATTACGTTAAAATACAACGCAGTAATATTTTAATCATATTTTTCGTTATCTTCAAAGTGAAATTTGGTCGACGTAAATACATAAAATAGCAGATATCGTGATACAATAGTACCAAAAATAAAACAGCAAGGAAGTATCGTTCTTACAATACCGCACATGATTTAAAACACGATTTAAAATACCTATTACAACTTCATAAGGGTAAAAATGTAAATTCCTCCCTTATTAGCATTTCTAGCGATTTGCTTCTCTACCCTTGGCGACAATTTACATAACAGAGCATAAACTCTGTAAGTACGATGAATCCGTTGCAAAAAGTGTATTTTAAAAGGTTGCTTCATTATCAAACGTTAGCAAATCAGATATATCATATTACACGAAGGAATCTCTCCTTGGATACACAGGGTGTCCCATTTTTTCCCGATCAAACTTCATTTTTTTAAAACTCCAAACGACCTATATTTATATAAATTTTTTCTCGTATTTATATCCATCTTAACAAGCTTTAATTTTGAAAAACTGAAAAATAATCACATGAATTCCTATAAAAATATAACAAAATCCATCAAGAGTGTTCGAGTAGTCGATCGATAATTTCGAATAATAATTCCAAGGTGGGTTAATGGAATCCCCGTGGAAGTATGACAGACAGAAAGATACACACCTTGGTTGTCTTAACCGACGGTTAAAATTTCGGAAGCTGAGTGTGGGGCGATGGGGGCGCAACAGTGTTTTACGGTTGGTTTCCTTTGTGAATCGTGGTGCTTCATTTAATCACCCTGCAGGGGATGAACGAGCACCGCACACGCTCGCCAGCCCCTCGCCTCACGCCGACGAACTAGGTGTTCGTTCCGTGACACCGGCTCGAACCAGCTGCTGTCGTCGAGCTAGGTGCTCTCTCCACTCGAAACGCTACAATTTCGACGGGACTTTGAAGAGTCTAGCCGACTTTCAGAATGGATGACTTGTAAAACTTTCACTTAAAACTGCGATTTTAAGATTTCTATCTTGTAAACTCAATCGCTTCTCAATTCTCCATTAAGTGCACTTGATCACGTTACCATGCTACTCAATATCAGTCACATTTGGAATTATTATTGAAAGATGGCAATTTTATAGACGAAATTGGATTTTAGAGATGGTTAGGATAAGAGAGAATGCTGTAATTTGTAAAAAGTAGGCTGAAATCCGATGTATAACCAGTGTCGTTCGGCTGGTCATCAGGCGGGCAAGGGCGCCCGCCGCTGCCCGCGGGCAAAGTGAGGGCAAAGTCGCGGGCTAGCGATGTCACACACGTTCAAACAAATTAAGAGAAAAGATGCTTGTGTTACGTATCTTCCAAACATAATTCTCCTTAAAAAGAGCCAGGATTACTACATACATACACAAATACACGCATTTTTGCCCGAGAAGGCGTGGCTTAAGTCTAAATACGTTGCCCGTGCGGGCAACGACTGAACGGCGCTGCAAAACACTCTGAAAGGGTTCAAAATACCGTAGAAAAATTCGAATAAATCAATTACCGTACGAAATCCCACAGAAAATGGATAGTTATAAGGAAGTTTGTAGCAGAATGTCTGCGAAAGTGTTAAAGAGTAAGTGCATCGGTGGCCGGTGAGCGTCATTGAATCGACACGTGGTGGCGTGGTTCGCGAAGAGGAGGCGAGCGTAGCTCTGCAGCATGTGTGTGCGCGGGTGTAGAGCGCGTGTGGTTGCTTGCACGGGCGTCGATGCAGCTGCTCCGGTGTCTGATGTCCGTTCGCGGCGCGGCGCGCGTGCCCCGTATCTTCTGCCGTGGTGAGCGCAATGACGTCAACGCGCACACGCACGTCGTATGTACTACATACGTAAACATGGGGAATGAGGAACATGCGCGTCCTCCTGAATAATGCATGCCGCGTATCTCGAGGCTACCGAAGTGACCAGGATTTTCAGATGCTTCTACGCCGGCGATAGCATCCCGGTTCTCTCGGAGCTTGAAAAATGCTGCCCGGACTGAAAATGTTGTTCCTTTTTGCCGTACGAACCCGGTCAACCGACACCTCGTTACACCGAAGAGTCATCTCTCTTTCTTTCTCCGTCGCGTTCGATTTGCTTTGGCTGAAGACTGTCTTCTTTTTCGATACACTTCGTGGGTACACTTTGGTACACTTCTGTGCAGAGTTTGCAACCATTTGAGTTTAAATAAGATTTCCAGTGTTAGAATGTGTGCTAATTAAGGTAAACATAGATTATTTATTTATTTGTGATAAAATTTATTTTAGAAATGCATTATATTGTGATGACTTTTTAATTGGAAGTGTATGTTCTCCTTTGACATCAGTGAGTTTTTGTACTCATTGTAGCATGGAATCATGTTATTTTTAATAATTCTCAAAATCTTCTGGACCTGAAGATACACCTGAAATTTTACTTCTTTTAGTGATAGAATTCATTTTAAGCAGATAATCTGACCTTACAAAAATCCCACAGATTTTCTGTGGGATTTAAATCGGATGAGGTCCCAGGGCCAAGGACCTGTTTGCTTGAAAATATTCCGTAGCTACGGCTTTGTTCACTTCTTCCAAAAGTTAACATTCATTTAATTGTCCGCCTTTTACATACGGACAGGCTTCATTTTGATAAAAACTATTACAAAGTTTTATCTTTCAATTTCCATCACAAAAGGCGTGTTCCCAAAGTGTCAACAGGATTAAAGAACCTGTTTGCGTGCATCGTTTTCTGCTTGCCTTTTGAATTTTCACTTTTTCAAGAGCGCCGGTGACGTTTTACATTTATCATCGGGTGAAAAAAACGTGAAGGATCGATTGAAAAATCGTTCGATAGATAAGGATCGAGAGTGAAAACGATATGGATGCGTGAAGGAGTAGGGTTACGGAAGAGAAATTAAAGATTTCGGATGCAGAGAAACGCGACGAGCAAAAGGAAGAAAGAAAGAACGATGCACACGGAAACCAAGAGAGAGAGAGAAAGAGAGAGAAGAGGACAGAGCGTGAAAGGGAGCAGGAGGCGAGTCGAAAGTGGGAACGGTT